TTTCCCTCAACTTCTCCTCTCACCTTGCTGGATCAAGAAGGAGGAGACGTCTCCCAACCGTACGTGTGTTGAACGCGGAGGTGCCGTCCGTTTGGCGCTAGGATCATCGGTGATTTGGATCACGACGAGTACGACTCCATCAACCCCGTTCACTTGAACGCTTCCGCTTAGCGATCTACAAGGGTATGTAGATGCACTCTCCTTCCCCTAGTTGCTAGATTACTCCATAGATTGATCTTGGTGATGCGTAGAAAATTTTAAATTTCTGCTACGATCCCCAACAACTGGGCCTTATATCCAGAGTGCTAAAGGGGTGCGGCAAGGTGACCCTCACTCTCCATTTTTGTTCAACCTTGCAGCAGAATGTTTAACCAAAATGGTTATTGCTGCCCAAAAAAACTGTCTCATCAAAGGATTGGCCTCGGGGCTAATCGAGGGAGGGGTGGGTATCCTCCAATACGCTGATGACACCGTCCTGTGCTTTGAACATGACACTGACAGGGCTGTTAATGTTAAGGTGTTGCTATATCTCTTCGAGCTCATGTCTTGATTGAAAATCAATTATGATAAGAGTGAAGTGTTTGTGGTGGGAGGGGATAACGAAACTGACATAATTTAGGCAGAGATATTTGGTTGCCGTGTGGGCACCTTACCCATGAGGTACTTGGTAGTGCCAGTAACCTATTCCACTCTTAAGAATATCGAGCTAGATTTCTTGGATGCTAAAATGGTCAAAAAAACTTGATGCATGGGTGGCATATGCAGCCTCCTCGGGTGCTAGACTCACTTTGCTAGATTCTAGCTTGGATGGTATTCCTTCCGACCTGATGTCCATGTTTCTCTTCAACAAAACCTTCATTGAAAAAATTAATAAGCATCGCAGACGCTTCTTTTGGAGGAGGAAGAATAAGAAGCGTGCTTATCACATGGTTAGATGGGATAGGATCTGCCGATCAAAAAGAATTGGTGGCTTGGGAATAAAAGATCTCCACAAGCAAAACATTAGCCTCCTTGTGAAATGGTGGTGGAAGTTGGAAACTTGCGATGGGCTATGGCAATGCATTATCCGAGCTAAATATTTCAGGAACAAAACCGTTGCGAATATCTGCAGCCGCTTTTCTGATTCCCCTTGCTGGAAATCCATTATGAAGGTCAAAGATACTTATATGGCTGGGAGGAAAATCATCATTAACAAAGGAGATTTAGCTAGGGTTTGGCACCACCCATGGATAGATAACTGCCCATTACAAGAGCATTTCTCTGTCTTATATGACATTTGTCAAAATCAAGACTGCACCATTGCTTCTTTTGCAGCCAACAACTACGATCTAGCTTTTAGACGTAGGTTGTTTGGTGCATTGGAGGAACAATAGAACTGGGTGGTGTGCGAGGCTAAAAAAAATCTTTGAATGAGAATCCTGACATTGTCTCCTGGTCCTTGAATAGTGGGGGTAAATTTACCACTAAATCTGTATATGAGTGGCTGGAGAGAGACCTATCTGGACCTAACTATAAAAAGGTGTGGAAAGCTGCGATTCCCTTGAAAATAAAAATTTTCCTGTGGCAGCTATTCCAAAATGTTGTGCTTACACGCGATAACATGCGACATAGGAATTGGCCGGGAAATCCTATGTGCTCGTTTTGTACGGAGGTGGAAACTGCTAATCATCTATTCTTCACTTGTTCACTCGCCCGCACGGTCTGGGGCGCGCTGGGGCTGACTGTCGGGATCTCTTGTGCCCCTAGGTCTATTTGGCAGTGCTTTGCTTGGCTGTATAAGTTTTTCCCAGGAGGGAAGAAGTTTTATATGATGATTATTGCAGCCGTGTGTTGGGCAATTTGGTGCCTCCGCAACAAAACTACTTTTGACAAGTATAATGCCCGTACTCCTTTGGAGGCTGTCTTTACTGCTTGTTCTTTTATGTTATACTGGGCAGGATTGCTTAAGGAGGAAGACAAGATGAGATTCCAAGTGGGGGTGAAGAGGCTGGCTAATGTGGCGGCTGCCCTGGCGGACAGATCATATGCTCGCGGCAGGCTGCTCCTGGGAGATGGGGATGGTATTCAGATTGGGGAGCTGTCTTGATCTTGTTACCTTTAGACTGGCCTATATCCACTAGGGTCTGATGCCCGCTGGAATTGTTCTTTTGATGATACTGATCCATCCTTTTTAGAATTCCTATGTCCTAGACAGGTGCTTTTGGTTCGAGTTGTGGTTGTAGTGTCGTTAGGTTTTCGCTCCACAGCTGATAGTTCGTTTCTAGGGCTGTCATGTAGTGGGTTTCCTGTCGATACACCAACTCGCTCGTGCCCCTTTCAGTCTCCTTTTGCTGGGTAGTTATCTTTAGCTGGCTCGGTGCTTATCTTGTGAAACATGATCGACGCATGACTGATGTATTTCCGTTGATTGCAAAATTAATGGAAAGAGGTATGAGCCCGGTTGGAAAAAAGTGAACGACAAATCTCCCGTGTGCACTGTGCAGGGAGGGATCCGTCACCTTCCTAGCTACGTAGTACTAGATTGCTCCATGGTTTCAGCCTATTACTCCAATCATGGAACTAACATACAGTTCGTCAATCTCATCAACCAGGAATTACCAACCAATGCATCTTGCTTCTACGTATACATAAAACAAAAATAAAGCGGCTCGCTACACGAGTGCACGTCGCCGAAAACATCCCTCTCAGAGAGAGAGAGCTAACGTAGGAGCACACTAGGAGCCGCGATAGCACATCGTGGCCAACTCGTCCTTGCCGTTCAGAAAGGTTGTAGCCATGTGCGCGATGATCGGCCGTTGGTAGGACGATCGAGTCACGGCCACCGTGTATTTCGTCTTGATCGCCCCACCGCGGGCACCGAGGTTTTTGTCCGCGTCATATCGTGTCCGGTCCTCTACAACCGTTGTTTATTCAGCCGCGCGCACACGGCGCCCGACCGCGACCTGAAACCCAAATGTGTGGACGGCCGAAATCCTAACGTTGAGTCGGCCGGCTGTAGGGAAAATGAAAAAAGAGCTTTCACCTGCTTTCACGAGTCATTTCAGAATCATGGAAGGCCTGGCTGGCCACCTGCCCCTGTCCACGGCGTCCCACGTCAGCCAGGTGAAGAAATGGTATCCATGAGATCTTTTCGGTTTGCTTTCAAAACCACTGTGCAGAATATTTTTCTTTCTACAAATCTTACTGCCCACAATCTTATCGTTCGACAAACCTAAGTAAACTATAAGGGTTTCTACAATGCAGACCCTCAGAACAAATATGTGGGGTGTAATGGACGTGTGTCTTAGATGGAGGCTTGTTTCATCTTTACGCTTCTTGTACATTGTTATTTTTCCTTCTATGAAAATAAGGTACGCCTTTGACGTACTTTCGAAAAAAAACAATGCCAACCCTCAGAACAAATATGTTATCCATCTATTGATACGTCCAGACGTATCCCTGGACACCGATACGCAAGCCGGTCATCCAAACGTATACGTTAAATGTCCTCCACTATTAAGTTAAATAAAAAGTGACCTTACACCAAATAACAATTGTCTTTCTTCATTACGTAAAAGTTTAGCATGTAATCATGAGTATATACAATTGATTAACGGCCTTCCGTCGTGGCATGCAATGGCCTTCTGCCAACTAAGAATGGCATTCCGCCATGATTTTTTATTTGATGTCTTGAACCGCTTACTAATCACGTAGTATATGTATATTAGGCCCCCTTCGCCACTCCACGTATGTTCTGTCATGGTCTCGCTCACTTCGCTCGTCTATCGTATTGGTTCGACTTCGTCCGTCCAGCGACAACATTTTGCCTCTGACGACTTCACTATCACTCATGACTGGTAGTAGTTGTCTCTATGTAGTAGTCGGCCTTTGTTCGCTTCCTGCATGTCTCTTTCTTGTACTAATTAATGTGTATGGAAAGTCTTCCCAATGCCTCCTTCCTTGCCGCCAACTCACGCTAGATGGTAAGAAGGGACGAGACTTGCCTGCTCCCCGCGCGTGCTTTTATCCGTGCTCCCGCGTACGTGGAGTGATGGTCATTTTAAAACATGTTTTCCGCCAAATGCTAATCACCTTTTGGCCTTTAAACATGTTAGCCTTCCGTCAAATTAATTAGTTACTCTAGCTATATGTAAGTCATCTGAAAAATAATTTTGGGTTAGTCAATGTTGTTGGATGTTGATCCTGCTTTAAGATTCGTGCTCTTTTGCTTTGTTGTATGAGTTGTTTTGGTCTTTTTTTTACTGACCACATATTTGGGCCAGTCAATTCCTAAATGGTCTAAAGCCCATTACCCCAGCCCTCCCCTCTCCCCCTTTGTTCCTTTTTTATTTTTCCGTTTTTACTTTTTTTTCCTTTTTTTTCTTTATTGGTCAGGTTTTTGTGTGGGGGGTGTTTTTAGGTGTTGGGTGAATCTAATATATATATATATATATACACACACACACACACACGAATACTATAAAATATATGTGAAAATTGTACTATTATATGATTATTTTTTTCATGCTAAAAAAGTGCGATTTCAGTGTAATTGTGTGCAAGTTTTGTTTTCTTTCTTCTTAAAGTGAAATACCGATGCCACTAATTCATTGTTTCATAGAAAAATTTATTATTTTAATTTTGATTTAGTTATCATTACATTTTGAACGCTGCTACACACACGATAGAATCTGGACGATTTGTGCATGATACAACACGTCAGGCCATCCATGCATAGAGGGAAAGCTGACTATCACCATTCGATCCTCCATCGTTCACAGCTCGTCCAGACGAAGTCGTCCACATAATAATTTCGTTACATTTTCTTTCTTCTTTTGAGGGTAGTACCATTGCCACTAATTCATTTCTTCTTATGATTTCCTTTTTTGCGAAATGCATTCGGCTGCTGAAACAAGAAACACGATGCAGAGCATATGGAGGCCTCGCTGATACTAGTATTAAATTGCATATCATTTAACCAGTTCATCTAAAAGATAAGCTAAAGAAAAGAATTAGACATTTTACACTCCCACTTGCAACTCATGGATAATTTGCACAAGAGAAGAGTACGTCCCTGTTATAGCCACCAGCAAGCCCAACACCAGTATTCCGACGATCGACGCCGTCTCCAAAGCCGTGAGAGATGTAGCTCCGAAGATCCTGACATAGCAGAGGCACGGCAGCAGCATGCACGCGCACACGCTGAGCAGGGAACCCACCAGCGCCATGAGGTACCCGAAGAAGGGCAGCGCGATCGCGACGACCACCGTGCTCAGCACCAGCAGCGTCCTCACCGCCACGGAGGCCGCGGCTCCCTCGCCTACCACGCCACGAAACCTCTCCTCGATGGCCACCGCGATCGGCGTGACCACCAGTGCATACTTCGAGAAAGGCATGACCACCGTCGTGTATATGGCGATCTTGGAGCTGAGCCTCGCCGCCGGTAGGTTGAGCGTCACCTGGGACTGCACGCCGTCGCCGTACATGAGGTATCCCAGCACGGCCATTGAGCCGTAGTTGAGCGTGCACAGCACGAAGCATATCGCTAGCATCTGGTTAATTAGGAAGAGAAGTTAGTATCCATCTTCAGCAGCAGACCAGTGAAGCAAGGGAATACTAAATTACTGTTACCTTTGGGAACTGAGATTTTTGCTTCATGGATGTGTACAGCGTCGGGAACACCGCGTGGGTGCAGTAGCAGAAGGTGTAGAGGCCGAGAGCGGTGGGGAGGCCGGTGAGCCGCAATGGCGTGGTAGTGCCTCGCCCGGAGAACCCGACGCCGTCGACGGCCGCGGCCCAGAGCACGCTGAGGACGATGGCGACCGACGCGAACACGCCTGCAGCGGAGACGTAGGCGAGCACGCCCAGACTGCGCAGCCACGTCGTGGGCGCGACCATGAGCGCCACCAGCACGACGAACAGCTGCTTCCCCGCAAGCGACACGGGCCCCAGGTGAACGCTGGCGCCGGGGAAAAGCTTGTCGAGGTTGTCGCCGTCGAGGATGAGGAAGCCGATGGCGACGAGGTAGAGCTCGGCGTACATGAAGGCGGACACGACCAGGCGTCCCCGGCGGCCGAAGGCGCGCTCGCCGATGTCCGGGTACGTCCGGATTGCCTGGTCAGCGGCCATGCAACGCCCGAGGAGGAGGCCCGTGTACCAGCAGGTGGCGGCCACGGCGGCGAGCAGCGCCAGGCTCAGCCATCCACCCTCCGCGAGCGCGTACGGCATCGACAGCAGCCCAACACCTACTCAAAACAAGTGTCGCACGGTGTGAATCAAAACAAGGTGCAAAAGCGAAACCAAGAGAATTAACAGCATGACTGCGCGAACAAAAAATTGCATGCAGACCTGCCAAGCCGTTGGTGCCGTTGAGGCAAGTTCGCACGAAGCTGGCATTGCCGTCGTCTTGCCCCCCGCCGTGCGGCGCCTTCCCCGGCCGCGTGGCCTCTTGCGCCCCGAGAAGCGGCACGTCATAGCTCATTTGCACGGCGCAATCCGACCGCGCGCTCACGCTTATTGGTATGTACTTGGGGTCTCTATTTGACATTTGACTCTAGTACAAGCTCCCTCAACGATCCACCTTTATAGTTTCAGAGAAATTCAGAGCAGGAGATAGAACACACCCTGTGAAATCACACTAAATCTTGGACTATCAAAATTTTCGGGCAAGAATTCACAGATCACAGCATACGCCCAGCAGCAAGCTGAACCAAACTAGTACCGAAATAGAAATCCATCAATTTGAACCCTGTGAGAAGGGAGCAGGGAGGGAAGAGGGAGAAAGGGGGGGAGGTACCTGCGATAATGGGGGAGGCGGCGCAGGTGGGGAAGTCGGGCTGGGGCTGAGAATATGGAGAAGACGGGCGACCGGAGAGCCGGATGGGACGCAGAGTTGGGGCCTAGGGCTGAGAAGATGGAGAAGAGGGGCGGCGGAGAAGCGTTCACGGGAACGAGAGGTGCCTCGCTCGGGCTGAGGAGGAGAAGAGATCGAAGCGGCACGTGACTTATAGAAGGGCGATGATAAATTTGGACCGGTCACCCTGCAGCCGCCCAATACAGCTGCGGACAGCCGTTTGATTTGCCCCGCGGCGTCTTCTTTCTTCCCTCTCTCACGCAATGTCGTAGCAGCGCACACAAGACCCCATCCCCACCCGACGACCCAGTGCCGCCGCACTCGCCGTGGTGACCCGTCACGCTCCCTGCGTTCATCGATTCCAGCCAAAAAACGAGTCGTAGATGTAGCTCCCCGGCTCTACAGTTGTAGCACCATGTGGTTGCTGTCACGCCTTGTCGGTCGAGTTTGAAGCTCGCCGGCGACCGGTTGCAGCATCCTTCCCCCTGTCCCATGCTAGATCTCATCGCCGGGATTCACAGCAAACCACCATCGACACCTCGTTGTAGTGAAGAATGAATGTAGTGGCAAAAAGCAGTTGACGGTAGTCACAAAAATCAACATGGTTGCAGCAAAAAACATCGTCTCGCTGTTTGGGGGTCGTAGGTAAGTCGTAAAATGGATGTAGCAAAAAATTCTTCGGTGGTAGCAAAAATGGACGATGGTGCCGCCACCACCCCCCGAGCCGGATTAGCTCTTGTTTTCTCTTTGTTCGGGGCTTGTTTTGGTGTGCCCCCAATGATTATTTGAGACTTGCTTGTACTTGCACCTTTCTTGACTTGTTGTTTGATGCTTGGTGTCGTTGCTTTACAATATAAAGCGGGGGGAAACTCTTTTTCATAAACAAATATG